TGACGTGTGAAAGAAGATTTTTAATTTTTAATATGACACGGACAAATAATAGGACATATTCATTCAATTCCTAATTTATTGGAATGTAAACAAGTATACTTTCGTTCTACTATCGTATACTTTATAATGATAATAATTAATGACACATAGACAAAAATATATCTATATATATAAAAATCAATGCCACTTTTCGTTGTAATTCCATAACTCAAGAACGGGCTCACCTATCCAAACCAAATGCTTAGGATTTGGTCGGCATATTTAGTAGATAGTTTATGTGAAGTTTGCACAAAATCGGTCGAGCGGTTCCTCATTTGTCACATTTTTTGTAATAAATGAATTCAATAGAAACTTTTTTCACAGAAACTTTTTTGAAGTTTTGTTGACAGGACAAGCACGTTGTTATGTCATTCATGCCGTCAGTTCATTTTGGACGTGGTTTGATTAAAGCATATTATCAGCGATAAATTTCTTTTCACATAATTGCATTTGCAGTGCATTCATACAAACGGTGAGTCCTGAATTTATGTGTACTTTTCTAAGTTGCCGTATATGATTTCACATAGCATCATATGCGACAGCTTCTTGGGAATTTGTTTTTTTTTTGTTCTAATTTTTTTTTTTCGATTTTTAAGCGAAAACATATGTGCATACGGGAAAAATGCCACCAGCCAGACGAGCAAATATAGGTCGGCGAACGCGTAATGCAAATGATGTGGCATTACTAAGACGATCACAGACTGCAGATGAACGCGCACAAGCTAATGCATCGCAGCGTGAACGTAATGAACGCAATGGATTTGTTAACCCAGTACCTGTACTGAATCTTGCACGGCCATCACGAATACGTCGTGCTGTTTTGGCTGAAATGATGCGTGCTGCTTTTAATTACAACAGTCAGATTGATTATAGTATGTATGGATACATTGGAATGATGGACGTAATATGTCCACATTGTGATGCGGCTAACTTTCCAGGTGAAACGCCCGGCATGTGTTGTGCTAATGGCAAAGTGAGATTGCCAGCATTAGAAACTCCACCCGAACCATTGTATTCATTTATTTTTGGGACATCGCAAGCGTCGAAGCACTTTCTGAGTCATATTCAACAATACAATTCGGCATTTCAAATGACTTCTTTTGGTGCAACTAAAATTATTAGAGATAATTTTATGCCGACGTTTAAGGTAAATACTTCAACAGGATTATTCCATGTTTGTATCAATCTGAAGCATAAAGTATATTTAAAAAAAAACTGATATAAGATTTACCTAAAATTGTATACATGTTACAGATTCAGGGCCAGATTTATCATCAAGCTGGTTCGTTATTGCCATACCCCGACGCTGATCATCAATTTTTGCAAATTTATTTTATTGGTGATGAAAATCGTGAATTGGATCAACGTTGTGCAATTGTTTCGAATACAAGACGAGAAATTATTCGTGAGCTACAAAGGTTTTTCCATCAGCATAACGCATTAGTTCAATTGTTTAAAATTGCTCTCGATCGTATGCCAACTGATAATCACAAAATCGTAATAAGAGCTGATAGAACACCTTTTGGAGAGCATGCAAGGCGATTTAATGCACCAACAATTGATGAGGTTGCAATTGTAATTCTTGGTGATCAGTTTCAATCCCGTGATATTGTACTTCATCGTAGAAATGAGCAATTGCAACGTGTTTCGGAACTTCATCGTAGTTACGATGCATTACAGTACCCAATATTGCATTGGAAAGGTGACGATGGTTACCATATCAATATACCAATGATTGATCCACGAACAGGTAAATAATTGACCTATTTTTAGTGTGTTGACATTTCATTTCTACAACTTTCTAAAGTCACATTTTGTAATTATTTTCAGGTCTACATATACAGAAAAAAGAATATACTATATTGCCATCTTCGTATATTGGTAGCCCACGGCATATGAACGAATATGCACAAGACGCAATGTCTTATGTACGAAAATACGGTCGACCGGATCTGTTCATTACATTTACATGTAATCCGCAGTGGGATGACATCAAGAACAATTTATTTGAAGGCCAGTCGACAACTGATCGTCATGACATTACAGCACGTGTTTTTCGGCGAAAATTGAAAGCACTTATGGATTTAATTGTGAAATTACGTGTATTTGGAGAGGTGCGTTGCCATATGTACTCCATCGAATGGCAAAAAAGGGGATTGCCGCACGCACATATTTATTTGGCTGGTAAATAAAATAACTCCGGATCAAATCGATAACGTTATATCAGGTGAAATTCCTGATCAAACTGTTGATCCTGAGTTATTTGATGTTGTCGTTAAAAACATGATACATGGTCCGTGCGGTGAACTAAATATGAATTCGCCATGTATGATTGATGGAAAGTGTTCGAAACGATACCCAAGACAATTGACTTCAGACACAATAACGGGCAATGACGGATATCCGTTGTATAGACGTAGATCACCTAATGATAATGGCAAAACGGCAACCATTAGAATGCGAAACCAGGACGTTGAAGTTGATAATCGTTGGGTGGTTCCGTATTGTCCATTATTATCGAAAATATTCAAGGCTCATATAAATGTGGAGTATTGTAATTCAGTCAAATCCATTAAATATATTTGCAAGTATGTAAATAAAGGGAGCGATATGGCTGTTTTCGGTGTAGCTGGTGATAATAGAAATGATGAAATTACTCAGTATCAACTGGGGCGCTATATTAGTAGTATATTTGTTATTATTCGAAATATGCGAAATACTAAATTATGCGAAACTGATACATTTGCTAGAAATTTGTTATATTCCGAAGTGCCTCAGTACTATACATGGAATGTGTCTTCAAAAAAATTTCAAAGACGTAAACAAGGAACAGCAGTCGATGGGCATTCAGGCATTTTCAAAACAGATGCAATTGGGAGAATGTATACAGTACATCCAAACAATGCTGAGTGTTTTTATTTGCGATTGCTATTAGTTAACGTCAATGGCCCAAAATCATTTCAAGAATTAAGAACAGTCGACGGTCATTTGTGTCAAACATATCGTGAAGCATGTCAACTCTTGCATTTGTTGGAGGATGATGCACATTGGGATTCAACACTTAATGATGCATCTACGTCAGCTCATCCACAACAAATACGAATGCTATTTGCCATTATATTATCGACATGTATGCCATCAAATCCACTTGAATTATGGAACAAATATAAAAATTATATGCAGAAGATATTTTAATTCGTATGCGTCATCATGCAAGAAATCCTGATTTGTTGATTACCTTGGAAATGTGCAACGAAGCTTTGATAATAATTGAAGATATATGTCTAACGATTGCAAATAAAGCATTAGTACAATTGGGTATGACCGCACCAAATCGTCCCATGCATGATTTGTTTGATCGTGAATTGCAACGTGAGCAGGAATTCAACTGTAATGATTTGCGTTTATTTGTACAATCGAATATAACCAAATTAAATATTCAGCAAAAACATGTATATGATACAATCATGCAAGCCGTTTCCAATAATGCAGGTGGATTATATTTTTTGGATGCACCTGGTGGCACAGGTAAAACGTTCGTTATATCATTGATTTTAGCGACTATTCGATCAGATCAGAAAATTGCACTAGCACTTGCATCTTCGGGAATTGCTGCTACATTATTAGAAGGTGGTCGGACCGCACACTCTGCATTAAAATTGCCATTGAATGTACAGGTGATTGAAACTCCAACTTGCAATATATCGAGAAATTCTGCTATGGCAAAAGTTCTGCGATTAACGTCAATTATTTTATGGGATGAGTGTACAATGGCGAATAAAAAATCACTAGAAGCATTCAATCGAACAATGCAAGATTTACGTGGTAATCAACAGCTTTTTGGTGGTGCTTTGATATTACTTTCAGGGGATTTTCGTCAAACATTGCCTGTCATTCCTCGATCAACTCCTGCTGATGAAATAAATGCCTGCTTGAAGTCATCAGTTCTTTGGAGATATCTACAAAAATTGACACTAAACATTAATATGCGTGTTCACCTACAAAATGATCCAGCTGCCCATGAGTTCTCAAAACAATTGTTAGAAATTGATGACGGCAAAATACAAATCGACAAAACCAACGGATTGATCGCTGTACCGAACAATTTTTGTACAATTGCGCAATCGATAGATGAATTGATTGAATGTGTTTTTCCGAATATTGTTCAGAATTACAGAAATCATGATTGGTTGACAGAACGCGCCATTTTAGCACCGAAAAACATTCATGTCAATGCAATTAATTTTCAAATTCAAGCGAAACTGCCAGGCGTAGTCACGAAATATAAATCAATTGACAGTGTTATGAATCAAGATGAGGCAATGAATTATCCAATTGAATTTTTAAATTCATTGGAGCCGGCTGGTATGCCACCGCATTGCTTGAATCTGAAAGTTGGTTCTTCGATTATATTATTGCGAAATATTAATCCACCAAAACTGTGTAACGGAACCAGATTGGCAGTGAAAAAGTTGTTGCCAAATTTGATTGAAGCTACGATCTTAACTGGTAAATCAAAAGGAGAAGTTGTTTTGATACCGCGTATACCTATGATTCCAACTGATATGCCTTTTGAGTTCAAACGTTTACAATATCCTGTGCGTTTATCATTTGCGATGTCCATCAACAAGGCCCAAGGTCAAACACTTCACGTTTGTGGTGTGAATTTGGAGGAACATTGTTTTTCACATGGCCAGTTATATGTTGCCTGTTCCAGAGTCGGTACCCCCAGCCGTTTGTTTATTTATGCTCAAAATGGAAAAAAAAAAAAATATTGTTTATCCAAATGTTTTGGATTAAGTGTGTTGTAAATAGCTAGCAATTGATTTCGATTTTAAATAAAATATTTTTTTGATTAAATAAATGAATTTGATGTTCCGATTTGTTTATTTTATTTCACTTTATACGTAGCGAAGCACGTACCGGGCCGCTAGTTATTTTATAAAAAGTACATTTGGTATTTACAAAAATAATTGAAATATGGCGCATACACAGAGTACAACAATACTGCTTTTGAATAAAAATGCTGAACTGAAATTGGGTTCTTGACAGTTATCATTTTGTTCAACTGTTCTGAAATACGGTTCATGGAGCTCTTGTCTTTGTTGTATCACACCTGCGATGGCTGTCTCTCCATCTGGTGACATAGTCCTTCCACGACTCAACTGCCAAGCACGAACTAGAAGAAAATGGTAATAATAAAATGTTAGTTGGCCATTTGCTAGTTAACAAGTACACAGGTATTTTTTTTTGTTGTGAGCTATACTGCCCGTTATCAGGTACCCGGTAGTCCTATTTCTACTTATTTTGTAAAAATAGCCTATGTTACTTCTTACTACATCAGCTACCTGCTGATAAAAATAGCATCAAACTCGGTTCGGTCATTTGAGAGAATAACCAAAAAAGATACACAGATAGTTAAACATCATAAAAAATGTTTTGGTGTAAGTATCGTATGAACATTTTATTACGCATGTGTAGAGGTAGTACAAAGTGGTTATTTCGATATTACAAACAGACACTCCAATTTTATTAATTTACTTTGTAAGACGACGATAATCAACAAACGTCACTAGTTTTATTTATGTTATCGGCAGCACTAGCTGTCATGTTGACGCTGTCATCTGTCAAAGTTGACAGATTAGTAAATGATCGTAGCGTGATATCTTGTAGCCTTTTTCGATAAATGGAACATCGAACCACAAAACTTATTTTCAAATGGTTTCAAAAGTAGTTCTTAGGATAAGTGCGTTCAAACAAACGAACAGTAAGAATAAGATGAAATAAGTATAAGTTTAGTATATTGATTATTTTCGTAGAACTCAAAAACTTTATAATATTATTCAACTAAGAAATATTATGGACTATTTCTGCGCCTTAATAAATTTAAAATTTTTAAAGTCTATCTATCTATTGATTTTTTTATTAATAATCAAATTGTACACTTACTTTGTCGTTGAAAGGCATTTACGTTGGTGCAACTATACGCTAACGCGTAACTGGTGTAGTCTGTAGCCAGTATATAGACTATGGTATCAGCACTTTCTGAAATCAAAATAAACACAAAATTCTAATTGCACATATTTACCAATTATTTTCACGACATATTGTAGTTTAAGTTAGTGAAACTATATAGCCACGGAGATCTTAACGGGTTACCGGGGCTCCAGCCGAAAGGCAGGAGTGGAATGGGGTGGTTTTTAGAAGCTGACACGCCCTTCCGCCTCACATAGGCGGGAGAAGTAATTCGATGATATTCCCCCCTTAAAAAAAGTCCCCTTGAACTATATCGGTAGGTAGTTTCTTTTGGATTGATATTATTCAAACTATTTGCTAAAAAATATAATTAAAAACTACACTGTTTTATGCCAAACTCATCCAACAATATCAATTTATTAATTTTGATTCATATGGCCCAACTTGAGAACTATTGCTTACCTTCTGAGCCCGCAACTGGCAAGATTACAGTTATTTGACCGAAATTATTAGTAGTATTGATTCTGCCTGTGCCTTCCTTAATTGATAATTCTCCATTTACCACTTCATATGAAATAATGTTGATGCTGTCGGATTCTGGAGTAAATCTTCCACCAACACAAGTGGTTGTTACAGGATCGTATCTTTTAATCTGGTACCAGTTTCCTTGGAACTGTAAAAACGGATATCACAAAGATGAGTCATGCAGTTAATAAAGTACAAAGAATAGAAGCCGGGAGGAAGCACTAATGAGAATTAAGGTCTATTATTCGATAGAATATATATTATTTTATCAAGTCCTTGCACATTTCGTTACTTACAACTATTACATCACATCACAGACGTACCATCAATAACTGATAGGAAGATGTCTGTACCACAAGTTCTGAACAAAGTATAACTTAATGGTCACACAAGGGATTGATCTACCTCTATACAGATAAATAAAATTGCAGTATCTACATATTTTTAACATATAAATAACCACGTTTTACTACATGAATATAGAGTTATATACGATACACATCATTTATAGCTATTTTTCTTTTGTTTGTTATATTAATATTAATTATTTTAATATTAATTGTTCCCAGCGTTTCGTCATCTTAGTTTTAGATTGCTTGTTTAGTTACTTAGTGACCGACGGAGGTAGTTGTAAAAGGACAACGTATTTAATGCTAACACCATACAGCCAGTCTAGTATCGAAAAATAATAATAAGGTAATGGCTTATTGGTTTTTGTGAGTTTGAAGAATAATTTTGTAAAATACTTGTAACTACTTATAAAATATTTGTTTTGGCTACTATTTTCACACGAAACCACTGCAAAAATGGCCTTATACTGTTTTTTCGACGATCGTGGTTGACAACAGACTAACTCGCGGTGACGGCCTATTTTTCCCGAATTATAAGCGCTGAATGACGCGGCATACTGACACGCCCTCATGCCAATTCTTTTGTTTTTAATATTTCTGTGGTAATGAATAATTTCTACGACATGTAGCATATTGTTAGAAAGGGTATAAACTGAGAAACTTATTAAAGTTCAAAAAAGTTCCTTTATTACAATTAATTTCAAGTAGATATAGTGTTCTTGATCTGTAATATGTACGTATAGCACACACGCGGTAACTCATTGCTCTTTCGACGATTGGGATTTATGAAAAAACTTTGCCTTAACCTCGCCATTTCGCTATCGACTATTAATTTAGAGGTAGTGGGTTTTTGTTTTAGTGATTTTACAGTTGTTTTGTTGACTATTTGCACCCAAAAAATTGACAATTCTAAAACCATAATAATAAAGTTAATGATGAGACAAAACGATAATAATTATCATCTTTAATTTTGGATGTACCTACGATGCCAAACAGTGATAAAAAACGCCTGGTAAGTTTATGAGAAAAAGAACGCCACCCCACCAAGTAGGTATATTTTACTTAGGTATGACGTAGCGAGCTTCCACTTCTAAACTTTGATTACCTATAGTTTGTAATGTGAGTCAAGTGATAGTACAAAAATTTTACTCAGTATTTAGCCAAACCAACTGAAAGTTAATAAGCCGATGCTTAAGTCCTAAACAAAACTACTTTTACGAAAACTTAGGACGTATCTAGTATTGGTAAGTATAGTTTTGGCTGCTATGTCGCGTCGAACAAAGAAATAATCACGCATATCGCTCCACAAACCCGATTACACATCGATGTATAAACAAAAAAAAAATATACCGGCCGAATACAACCTTAGAGATGATTATTATGCAAGCGCATTAATACAATTATAAACAATAACGGAGGCGCCTTGGAGCAGTGTGCGGTGCCCACTGCGGGAAAGGTGCGCTCCGAGCTGGCCGAGATGCGGCGAGAGCTGGCGCGCTTGGCGGCCTCCAATGCGGCTCTGGAGGCCGAGCTGCGGACGGCCAGGGCCGAGCTCGCCGCTGCTCGCGGCAGTCGCCCCCAGCCCCCGGCGGAGGCCGACGTAGTCGGACTGCTGCGGGCGGAGTTGGCTGCCTTCCAGCGACGTTTCGACGTGCTGGAGGGCAGGCTCTTGCGCCCCCCACTCGCGGCGAGTCAGGTCGCCCCCGCGGTCCCCGGTCGTACGCGGCCGCTGCGGCCAAGCCTTCGACCTCGGGTCAGGCTAGCCGCAGCTCCCAACCGCCGGCAAGGGCGCGACCGGCTGCCCCAGCGAGGGCCTCGGCGCCCCCGCCGGCGCAGACCCCAGCTGCGCCGACGGCGCCAGCGCCCGCAGGGCGCGGCAGGCGCAAGGAGGAGAGGCGCTCCAGCCCGGCAGGCTGGAGTTGCGGCAGCGGTGGTGGAACCCGCCCCGCGAGCGGAGGACGGCGGCGGGTGGCAAATCGCCGGCGAGGCGAGGAGAGTCGCCAGGGAGGGCCGGAAGCGCCGCAAGAAGGCGCAGCGGCAGCGACGGCAGCAGCAGCGCAGGGAGAAACGCGCTGCTGCCTTGCTCCTCGCCCCTAAGACCGCGGCTGTAGTGATTACGCTGCAGCCCGAGGCGGTCAATAGGGGCGTCACTTACGGCGACGTCCTCGCCAAATTGAAGGGGGCGGTATCTCCTGCGGAGTTCGGGGCCAGACGGGTTCGCGGTCAAGGTGACCGCTACCGGAGCCCGTCTTTTGGAGGTCCCCGGCGCGACCAGCGGCCCATCGGCCGACGCCCTGGCCGAGAGGCTTAGGGCGTGCCTCGGTGCGGACGAGGCCCGCGTGTCCAGGCCAACCAAATGCCTGGATGTCAGGATCTTGGGCCTGGACGACTCCGTAACGGAGAGTGAGGTGGTGGCCGCTGTGGCCAGGACGGGAGGGTGCCCTGCTGACCAAGTTAAGGCAGGCGCCATCCGCCCGGACAACTCGGGGCTGCGCACTGTGTGGTCAGCTGCCCCGTCACAGCGGCCAAGAAGCTGAAGGAGGGCAAAAGGCTCTTGGTGGGATGGGTCTCGGCGCAGGTCAAGCTGCTCGAGACCCGGCCTCTGAGGTGCTACCTGTCACGTGGGGGAGCACGTGAGTGTCAAATGCACCTCGGAGGTGGACCGCAGCGACTGTTGCTTCCGCTGCGGTCGGCCCGGTCACAAGGCCGGCTCGTGCTCCGCCCCGCTGCACTGCAATGCATGTGCGGCGGCTGGCAAGCCGGCCAATCACCGGGTCGGGAGCAAAGGCTGCTCCCCTCCCGCCAAACCCAAGGGCAAAGGCAGGCCCTCCGCCGCCCCTGCCGTTTCCGCCGCCGCCGCCGCCACTGCCACCGCAGTCGCCGCTGCCGCCACTGAGGAGATCGGAATGGACTGCCAATAATGGCCCCATTCCGCCTCCTCCAGGCGAACATCAACCGCTGCGCCGCTGCTCAGGATCTCCTGCTCCAGAGCATGGCGCAGTGGTCGATCAATGTCGCCGTGGTCTCCGAGCCGTACTTTGTCCTGCCCAGGGATCACTGGGTGGCGGACCTGGACGGCTCGGTGACCATCATCTCGTCGGCCGCCGCCGGTACCCCGACTCTTGAGGCTGCTCAAAGAGGCCGGGGTTGTGTCGCAGCACGGTTCGGAGAGCTCGCTGTGGTGGGCGTGTACTTCTCTCCGAACCGAACTCTCGCCGAGTTCCACAACTCCTTGAGGGAGTTGGTCACTGTCGTCGTCGGGTTCCGTTCCCTCCCCGTGCTCGTCCTCGGGGACTTCAACGCCAAAAACTTGGCTTGGGGTTCCCGGTTCACCGACGTCCGGGGTAGGATGGTGGAAGACTGGGCCCTTGAGACAGGCCTAGTCGTCCTGAACCGGGGTTCTGTCCCCACGTGTGTGCGGATGCAGGGCGAGTCGGTGGTGGACATTTCGTTCGCCAGCCCTGCTCTGTCACCGCGTATTGTTGGCTGGCGCGTCATGGAGGAGGTGGAGACGTACTCCGACCACCGGTATATCCGGTTCGACGTCTCCGCCGAGTCCGCAGACCCGCCGGTCAGACAGGCCCCATGTGGCCCGCGTTGGGCGCTGAAACAGCTGGACCGGGAGCTGCTCCTGGAAGCCGCCATCGTGCAGGCCTGGGTGATACCACCGGTCAGGCCTGCCGACGTTGACGATGAGGCCAAGTGGCTCCAGGACGCCATGTCCAGGATCTGTGACGTGGCGATGCCCCGGATCCGGTCGAGGCAACAGAAGCGCCAGGTGTACTGGTGGTCGCAAGAGCTGGCGGCTCTGCGCAAGGCGTGCACTACTGCGCGACGCCAGTACACTAGGCACCGCAGGCGCCGTATCCGTCCTCCTAATGCGGAGGCGAGAGAGGCGGAGTTATACGAGGGATACAGGGCGGCGAAGGCCCTCCTCAAGGCGGAGATATTGCGGGCCAAGGAGGAGGCCCGCCGAGAGATGCTGGGGACTCTGAATAGAGACCCGTGGGGACGCCCGTACCTGATGGTACGCGACAAGCTCCGTGCTTGGGCTCCCCCGCTCACTCAGAGTCTCCGGCCAGAAGTCTTGGAGGAGGTGATTGGCGCCCTGTTCCCCCGACTGTGGAGGGGCTTCACCCCTCCGTATATGACTCCGCCCCCTGCGGTGCCCGACGCGGGCTACAGCGACGACGACGATGACATCGTCCCAGAGGTGACCGAGGCAGAATTGAGAGCGGCGGTGCGCCGGATGGGCGCCAAGAACACCGCCCCAGGACCCGACGGCCTGCATGGCAAGGCATGGGTCCTGGCCTCAGAGGCTCTCGGGCCTCGATTGATTGGTCTCTACAGCGCATGTCTGGAGAGAGGCCAGTTCCCGCTTCTCTGGAAAGCGGGCAAACTGGTCCTCGTGCGGAAGACGGGGCGCCCTGCGGACTCTCCGTCCGCGTACCGGCCCATAGTGCTGCTCGACGAGGTGGGGAAAGTCTTCGAAAGAATCATTTCGAACCGCCTCGTCGCGCACCTGACGGACATTGGGCCGGACTTGTCGGACGGCCAGTTCGGCTTCGCAGAGGGCGCTCCACGGTGGACGCCATCATGCGCGTTAGAGACCTCACGACGGGGACTGCAGTGTCCAGGGGTAAGGTCGTAGTGGCGGTGTCTCTGGACATCGCCAACGCCTTCAACTCCCTGCCCTGGAGCTGCATCTTGGAGGCACTCCGATATCATCGGGTGCCTACCTACCTCCGTCGTGTAATCGAGGCTTACCTGACGGACAGGTCCGTCAGCTACCCCGGTCACCGGGGCGAGTGGAACCGGCGAGAGATGTCACGCGGTGTTCCACAGGGTTCGGTTCTGGGGCCGCTCCTGTGGAACATCGGCTATGACTGGGTGCTGCGCACCGACCTCCCGAACGGCGTTAGCACAATATGCTACGCCGACGACACGCTGGTGCTAGCGCACGGGAGGTCGCACCAGGCGGCGGCCGACTTAATGGCGACAGCGGTTGCGACAGTCGTTGAAAGAATCCGGCAGTTGGGACTCGAGGTGGCGCTCCACAAGTCCGAGGCCATGTGTTTTCATGGCCGCGGGAACGCGCCACCTCCGGGTGGGTCCCAAATAACGGCGGGAGGGGTTACCATCGGCGTCGAGACGGCGATGAAGTACCTAGGACTCGTCCTCGACAGTCGGTGGAACTTCATAGAGCATTTCCGACGTTTGGCTCCAAAGTTGGAGAGGACGGGGGCTGCGTTCAAACGCATCCTCCCCAACCTCGGGGGGCCAAACGCCTCCTGCCGGAGGTTATACGCCGGGGTCGTGCGGTCCATGGCCCTCTACGGCGCCCCTGTTTGGGCGCCGAACTTGTTGCGGCGTCCTGCTCGGACGCTGCTCAAGTCACAGAGGGTCATGGCGATCCGAATGATCCGCGGATACCGCACGATCGGGGGAGTCGGCGAACCTCCTTGCCGGATTACCGCCGTGGGATCTGGAGGCGAAGGTGCTCGCGCGCGTGTATAACATGCGCGCGGAGGCACGTCGCCGGGGCGAAACTCCGCTGCCGCGCCAGATAAGTGCGTGGCGGGATGAGCTCCGGCGCGATCTCATGGCGGAATGGCAGCAACGACTGTCGCAACCGAGGGCTGGGCTCGCTGCCATTGCAGCGGTAAGTCCCCTCTTTGAGGAGTGGCTTGAGAGACGCTACGGCGTCCTCACCTACCGCCTGACGCAGGTCCTCACCGGACATGGAAGTTTCGGGAGGTACCTGTGTCTGATGGGGCGGGAGGAAACGCCCGGGTGTCATCACTGCGAGGACCGCCCTGAGGACACGGTGGAACACACCGTAGCGGAATGCCCTGCGTGGGCTGAGCACCGCCGTGCCCTCAGGGAAGTGATCGGCGATGGCGACCTCTCGCGTCCGGGCCTAGTGCAGGCCATGATGCGGAGCGAGGGGGACTGGGATGCCGTCTCCTCCTTTTGCGAAGCAGTCATGCTAGCTAAGGAGGAGGCGGGACGCGTGAGGCAGCGAAGCGCTGCCTCCTCGCGACCCAGCCATCGCGAAGGACACACCGGGCGTCGGGGATTGCGGGACGATCTCCGGCCACCGTAAGCGCGGGCCTGCGGACGGCGAGCATGGGTGGCTCCCCGTCCGACCAGAAACAGACCCGAGCGTACGGCGCGTCGCGTTCCGCGCGCGCCTCAAAGAGCCATCAGACCACCACAGATGGGGCCCAATAGGGCCGATGCCGATTCGGAGTCGCGGAGAACCTAACGGGTAACCGGGGCTCCGGCTCGACGTGCAGGAGAAGGAACGGGGTGGTTTTTAGTCAGTAAGAGTCTGACACTCCCTTCCGCCTCACCCAGGCGGGAGCAGTCATTCGATGATTTTCCCCCCTTAAAAAAAAAAAAAAAAAAAAAATACAATTATAAATATTAATACGCAATCTTACCTGATTCACGTCGAAGTCCGGAATTCCGGAAACGGTCTGATCACACTGGCCAGGTAATATGATGTCATCATTTAGAGCAATGTTGGGATAATAGAAACACGTTTCAGCACTCTGATCCGTGGTCTGGTAATAGTCTTCATGGAGACCTTGAGTTCTGCTAACCACTGCATCAATAGCAGCAATGTCTTGGGCAGTCAGTGTTCCGGATCTACTTAGTTTCCAGCTGCCAACTGGAAATTAAATTGGTTTGAGAGTGAAACTTTAATAATTTAATTGTTATCAGAGATGTTAATAACTAATATACAACGTTTACCCACCTCGTTGTTTGTTTCCGTTGTCTACATTGACGCAGCTGTATACAAGTGCATAACTGAGGTAGTTGGTTGCCAGTACGTAGTAGTTGGATCGCCTGATCTCTGCAAAAATGTATTTAATGTTATTAGATTTTTTCTCTTTGTCTAAAAGTGAAGGTAAAATTGGATGTCAGATACATCCAATTTTACCTTAACTTTTGTTAATCATAATATTTAGTTTAATGCAAAATAACATTATTTTTTGTCACATCACATTGGTATTGAAAAAACTACATTCATAGTTTTGTTATTAGCATATTTACGTCCGATGTTAAAGTTAGCCGGTGTTGGTCAAATCAAATTCTTTCGGTTAATGGGTTCCCTTCCTGAAACTAAACAAAACCTCGAATGTCAACTAGCGCTTGGTAATATTATTATGATAAGTAGGTACCTATTTCTTGCAAAACGTGTCCCTATGATATTGTCAAATTATTTTGCTATATTATGCAAATGTTTACCAAATACGTAAATTCATTCACAATGGAAAACGTTAAAGAATTTTATTTCCGAATACTAGTATCAATTTTCTGATTATATTGGTCCTGGTATTGGGCCCCATTACCAAAACACTAACTAACCACAATATCACCGATACAATAAAATCCGATGTGGCTCACAATAGTCCTGAATTTCTTTAAGGAATAATCAGAAGAAAGCTGTGCTGTAATAAAATATATCATGAGACATACACTACACACTCAGCTACACATTGAGCTTACTAACCATTATTAACATTAAAAGAAACTTCGAACTCCCCAGTTCCATCATCGCGTGCAACAACGGCTGTTCCTTGTAAAGTGGTCATTTCTCCATTTATAATTTGGCTGTTCATCACAGAAACGGCGCCTCCAGCAATTGGAGTATAACTAGCACGGTTACACTGTCCAGCTTGCATCAGCTGTGGGTATCTAGCGACTTCTATCCATGTGCCTTCATACTAGAAATAAAATGCAATATGTATATTATATTTAGACATAACTGACAAACGATGAAGGAAAATAACGTGAGGAAACTTGGGTTTATAATTCCTAATTAAAAATTTGAAATAGCCAAACCGCATTGAGCAAGCGTGGGGATTAAAGCTCACTTTACACACAAGCAAACTTTAATAATATCCGGATTTATTATTAGGACTGTAATATGGATAATGGAATCCGTTTATTATGAGTCCGCCTATATTGACCAACTACGGAGGTTGGTTTTCATGTAAAAAACCTTAACAAACGAGTCCGATATAATGACTTCCCTTACAGTGACATGTCGCTTATTATAACCCAATCAATCAATTCATACATACCCTATAATAAAATTGTCAAAGGTTGTTTAATTGTAAAAGGTTGGTGTCTGTACATGGAAGATAAATAAGATAAACTTTATTATGGAAACTTTATATACGCAATACAACACAAAACAATGATTTTTAGAATTTTTGTCTGTTTATCTGTACGTTTGTTCGGGCTAATCACAGAAACTGCTTTTTCACTATTATGTTGCGGTTTGCTGGGATTAACATTTAGTCTTTGTTTTGTTTAAATCAGTTCATAAATAAAAAAGTTTTGTCAATCTAAAAAATTCCATTAGCACATCAATCAGTCAAATCATTAAAACTAAATGCTACAATATTGTATTTATCCTCATCGTAATAAATAATTTTATATTCAAGTCTGTTTTAACACCTACGAATTTCTTTTTGAATTACAAACATTAATATCTAGATTTTAAATTGAAACATTAATATTATTATGACTGTAACATATAAATATAATATTATATGTAACATCGGTTGGTGTTTGGCCATTTTGGCCACTATTCAATATAACTTAAAAATTTAACAAGTAAAAGTATTTTTTAATTAGTCGAGTTCCTCGTCAAACAGATACGTGAGTAAGCCGAAAACATAATAATTAATTAGTTTATTTCAATTACAATAAGAGTTCTGACAATTCAGTTAAATAATAAATTCTTTATTGAACAAATAAAGAATTTATTATTTATTATATAAAAATAATATTATAGAGGTATATACCTGTGCTTGTGTGCTCACGATACTACAAAATTAAGTAACATTAGCTTTTGGCACGTAAGATGCTGCGTTGTCTACGAAGTTTGTGGTAACAAAATATTATCATTATTACAAAACCTTTTATTGCCTCTTATGACACTTTCAGTTAGTATTCGGGTAACAGATTCTCTCTAGGTTTTCATATAATTAGGATTACACAGCCCTACAGGAGTGGTTGATGTTGTTTAACTTGGGTTTGTCAAATGGTGAGCAACTGCGTAAGATACAGTTGATCAGATTCGAACTCTTTTTGTGATCAATCTACCTCTGTTTAAATTTCATCCCGGTTCCTTCAGCCATTTTGATGTTACGGAGTAACAACAAACTCACATATTTTCAAATTTATAATATTGGTTCAAGCTAATTTCAACCTTCGCCCCCTACAGTTATACCATACAGTACACTGGGAGCAACCTAACTATAGAATTAACACTTCTGCAGCTTTATTATATGACATGTATAGATGCAATAAATGACTTACAGCAGAGACGTTGAAGTCCGGAATACCTCTGATGCTGGTGTCGCAGGGGCCAGGCAGTTCGATGAATTGCTGTGGTTCATCAAACTTTGGATAGTGGAAGCACGATGCAGAACTTTGACTTGTGGGTAGGTAATACTCTTTAATTAGACCTTTTGTTTGGCTTATGACTTGATCAATTGCTGTATTGGCCGTTGCGCTCAGAGTCCCTGTTCTACTAAGCACCCAACTGCCGACTAAAAATAGGTAATGCTTAAGTAGACGTTTCATCCCAGGAAAAGAATATATAAATAGTAGACAGCTTGTATTTAGGATTACCTCGTCGATATCCGTTTCCTGAATTGGAGCAGCTGTACATAAGAGCATATTCGTCATATTTGACTGCGAGGACATAATAGTCTGATACTCCATTTACTGAAATAGAACAATTTCATCGTTTGAAAATGTAGACTTACGGTAACGGGCACAGTTCCGGTAAATTCTCTGTTGGATTACCTAATTATTTTATTAACCACAAAAATTTAATCATTTTATCATAAATCTTACTTAGGTCAATCCGTTCTGATGATATTTGTTACAGCCGTAGAATATAGTTACTTTAGAAAAGACTGATTCGAACACCTAAATTCTGTCCGAAGTTATTATTGTACGCAGATGAAGTCGCAGGCAACAGCTAGATGCAAATAAACCTGTGTTCAAATGCCATTTTAATCTGAGGTATGCTATAAAAGTTTTGTATAAGTTTTTATAACATATATATGTATATATAGATGGTCTTTCTACCTAATATAAGTCTTTTGTTAGTAAGATTGTTAATATTGAAGCTGAGTAGTGAGTGTTGTTTGAGTATTAGTTGTACAACATAGATTTGGCGAACAGTTAAAACTTTGCAGGATCTATATAGCATCGATGTAGGAAAGAGAAAGGGATGGGAAAATGCAACTTTCAGGATGGCTCTCTGAGCACGTTCTAGAGGGGGTATAATAGTTTTTGATGCGCCACCCCAAGACGTAACACAGTAGTGGATAATTGACTGACATAATGCTAGGTAGATTTGAGTGATTAGTTTGAGTGAAGTGAGTTCAGTAAGAATTTAAAATAACTTACCATTATTGTAATGAACTTCCAACTTTCCTGTTCCATCAATGCTGGCATTAGCCACTCCTGATATCGTTGCTAGTTCTTCATTAACAACTTGGCTGTTCAATACGGATATTTCGCCATAAGGACTTTCTGACAGCTCATATTTAACACGGTTACACTGACCAGTTTGTGTTGGTTGCGGGTATTTAGAGAGTTCTATCCATTCACCCATATACTGACGATAGAATGAAATATTATAATCACGTAAAATAACACAGTTATTTTATAATATTTTACCTACTGTATAATATTTTCTTTATTTTTTTAATATAAATTTTGCATACATACACAACCTCATGCCTCTCATAGGAGTGAGCAGAGTCTGGAACGCCAATTGGTATGATTCTTACATACCTCTTTCGCTTACTCAGTTTAGTCTTTTTATGCATGCTCGTCAGTTAAGGGTACCTTTCTACATGTTCAAACCATCGTAACATTCCCTTTTCAATCCTTGTCACTACATCGTGTTTCAATCCATACCTTTCTCTAATAACACTATTTTTATTTATTGTGTATTTCTCAGGGCTCTCATTTCCACCGCATTAACCTTGCTGTCATGTTTCTTCTGTCACACACCTATGATTCATTATCAGACATAAGCGTTGGTTTCAATATACACTGTATTACAGCAAGTACAACTTTGCTGGATACAATTTTATTTGTCATTACAGTGTCCTTACACTGTAATGACAAAACAAGAAATAGTGTAAATGATGCCTTCATCATTTACACTATTTCTTGTTTTCACTATCCTTTCAATATCCCCTTACATCTTTCGTATTACACTTTTCATCTTCCACTTTCGTAAACAGATATTCCAGATACGAAAACTCAACTCACTAGTTCTAGTATTTCATCATCTATCATCACTTTTCCACCTTTCTATCACCATCTTTTTTGTCTTGTTTACATTCGCTTTTGTACTTTTCTTTTCATCATTCATCACAGCGATCATTCGTTTTAATTCTTCAACCAACGAGGCAACAAGTACCTGATTGTTGGTGTACAACAAAGTTTTGATCAACATAACATAACATAACATCACGCCTTTTATCCCCGAAGGGGTAGGCAGAGGTGCACATAGAAGTAACACCAACTTTTCACTATTTATGTTATGAGTCCCATGTAATAGGGGGTGAGCCTATTGCCATATACCGGGCACATTTCCAGACTCCGTGCTACTACTGAGATTTTTAAAAAAACCCAGTAATACTTTGCCCGACCCGGGAATCGAACCCGAGACCCCTTGCCCGGCAGTCGCACTTGCGACAACTCGGCCAACGAGGCAGTCTTGATCAATGTGTTATTTATTCTTAATCTACACTCACCTACTTTCAAATCGTTCAAACATCTATCCACGAAGAAGTTGAACAGCCAAGGCGATGCTACATAACCTTGTCTAACAACCCGATTAATGGTAAACCACTTTGTGTAGGCTGCATTCATTCTAACACAGGCACTCGAGTCCTTATATGTTTGTAAACGGACTTAATCGTATCAAGTTGACCACAATTCATCCCTCACCTCTCAATTGTAACCTTTTTCTAGGTCAATAAAGGCACAGAAGGCCTTATGATGTTTTGATAAGACTTTCTCTGAAATTCACCTTAGTGAAAAGACTTGATCCGTACACCCCATTCCCTTTCAAAATTTTACTTGTACATCCCAGATTTTATTTTTAGTCACATCCGTTTCTTTCAAACATTATCTTGGTATACGACTTTCCTACTGCGCTCAGGTGGCTTATACAGTGATATTTTTGCACTCCTGCTGTGAACTTTCCTTTATACAGTGTCAAAATTGTTATTACGGTCTTGTCCAAGTCTCCAGGGATACAACCGGACCATCAACACGTATTTAAAGTAGATACAGCAGGCTTGCAATTACACTTCCGCCCCTTGTTAGCATTTCAGTAGTTATCTTATCTCGCTGCTCTTCCTACTTTCAATCTCCTAATGGCACTTATGATTTTATCCGTATTTATTTCTCCCACACTAGCAGCATATTCATTATCATCGTTTGCTATCAATTACTATCAACTTTTTACCATCCATTTTTGAGACTTGCATAATGAACAACGATGTGTTTATTCTTACGTTACTTAATGTTGTAATTAAAAACAAGATACTCACTTTATCCGCCTCGAATCCCGGAAATCCTTTAATATTGTGGTCGCAAGTTCCAGACAGCTCGACGTATTCCCATGTTGGATCAAACTCTGGATAATAGAAACAATCGTCGGTTCCTTGGCGTGTGGGCTGATAGTAATCTTTATGGAGACCATGGGTCCTGCTTACGACTACATTAACTTCAGATTGGTCCTCTGAGCTCAGTGTTTCTGTTCTGCCTAGCATCCAACTGCTGACTAAAAAAATAATGGCATAAGCAAACATTTTTAGGAAAAAAAAAAATTTAGTAAGTAAATAATCTTCAAAATTACCTCGTCTGTTTCCATTTTGTAAATTATCGCACGTGTATACAAGAGAATAAGTTTCGTAGTTGGTAGCAAGGACGTAATAATCTGATTGTCTCTTCTCTGAAATAATTAATTTGGCATTACTTACGATGTATTTATATTTAGAAATCAGTGTACCTAAAATAGTATTATATACATACATACATACATAACATCACGTCTTTTATCCCCGAAGGGTTTCTCACACATCGGGTTACATTATCGAAATTTTCAAACGATTCCCTTTTATGTTTTATTAAATATAGCCTATGTTCAGCATCGATAATATAGGATTCCAACGGTAGAAGAATTTTTCAAATCGGCCCGTTACTTTCGAAGGAGATGCCATTCAAACAAACAAAAAAAAAATCTTTCCTCTTTATATTATTAGTATAGATGTACATCTAAGGTGTGATTTGTAGGTATATAACTGTAGGAATTTGTATATTTGTAAAATATCTACCACACAAGAAAAAGAAAGCATAAATATTTACAGTCACACAAACCGTTGTCGTTCGACGTGGAGGGCTAAGGGGCCTTTGTCCAGCAGTGGACGTCTTCCGGCTGTTGATGATGATGATGATGAAACCGTTGAAATAACTAACTAGTCAAAAGTCAAACGAATTCAAAAAGTAGGAGAATAAATTCTTTCCTATAATACGGATAGTATATAAATTAAACGGTTATTAAAACAAATAAATTACTCACCGTCGTTGACATTGTAAATAACTTGCAGCTTTCCAGTTCCATCTGTGCTGGCAAGAACTGCTTTTCCTGATATCGTTGCAAGTCTTTGGTTCACAACTTGGCGGCTGGTTACTGACACGGTGCCATCAGGAAGTAACTCGTATTTAGCACGGTTACACTGACCAGTTTGTGATGGCTGCGGGTATCTAGCGAGTTCTATCCACTCCCCCATGTACTGAAATAGAATGAAATAATACAATCACGCGAAATACCTATGTACTTATATTGTATAATATTTTCTTTGGATTTTTCAAATGCATATTTGTGATAATTAATTAACATCGAGTATTCAATTATGTTCTTTCGTTATCTACTAATGCAATTTAAAATAAAATACATACTTTATCCAAATCGAATTTCTCCATTCCTTTGATTCTATCATCGCAAGCTCCAGGAAGCTCGACGTATTCCCATGTTCCATCAAAATCGGGGTAGTTATAACAGTCGTCTGGTTCCTGGCTTGTGGGCTGGTAGTAACCTTCAAATATATCTAAGGTACCGCTTAACTGAACTCTTTTATTAATCTCATCATTGTTATCTGGGCTCAGTTTTCCGGTTCTGCTAAGCTTCCAACTGCCGACTTAAAATAAGGATAGAGTAAATAGAAATATAGAAGCAGAAAACAAAGCGTACATAGTAGACAACTTTTTTTCTTTGGGTTTACCTCGTCGATATCCGTTTTCTACATTGGAGCAGCTGTACACAAGAGCATATTCTTTGTAGTCGGTCGCAAGGACGTAATAGTCCACGGTGTGATCTGAAACATGTTTTGTTTGCAGTAGTTGTAGCTTTTGTTATAGCTAACAACATTAACCAGTTTATATAGGTCAACCATAAGTAACTAGATAACACGTCACTAATAAAAACACATCGCAAAAGTGATCCGTGTTGAGACACGCACGCCAAAATGTTTGTGTCTACAATATACTGATAATTGAAAAAATCACCAGTAAAACATGAATAAGATTAGTTTGTTATAAACCTTCTCTATAATGAACAGAGGTGAATTACAATCGATTACGACGATTGAGTGTTAATTATGACATTAGTCGTCGAGTCAAAATATAAAAAATGTCACTAGAATATAAAAAATATTAATTCTAAAATGACTTATAAGAGATGAAGAATAAGGGTTAAACATTTTAAGTATAAATAAATGGTATAATTTGATATTTTTGGAGTTTGTTTAAAAGAGGGAATGACTTGGAGTTCGGTAGGTTACCTAACTGATTTAGTAGGACGCGTGGGAAATAAATACAAGTGTAAATAGATTTATTATATAGCAAGGGGTTATCCTAGATAGGTATTTTATCCAATTCAAAAAAAGGAGATGGTCGTTACGTCTGTTTCAGATGTTTATATTAGGTACTTCATTGTATGTCAGTCAGTCCGGGTATGACTTATATAAGGATGGATTGGTGAATTACAAAATGGCCCTATATACATTTTCTAAACGTCTGATGAAGACGTGAATTTCGAATATTTGACCAAACAAATACCCATATTTTTCAACCCAAACTCCTCAAACTATCCAAAAAGATGTTATTTTTTATAATAAGCCTCTCCATCATGTGTTGTTCTATTTGATTGAAACTCTTGTTAGTCATTCAATATAACCTGAACAATTTAAGAAGCCATCCGCTAGTGTGAATTGTACGTACATATGGGTCTATTGATTTGTAAAGATGAGCTTGTCAACATACTCGTATGTCTGCTGTCGAATATTATATTTTCCTGGTAACGTAAATTAAATGTTGTATGCTATTTTATTAGACGTTACAATTATCATTACGTCATAAGTTGCTAACTTATAGAACATTTAAGAAACGTACCTAATTTTACTTTTTTGGAATTTCGATAAAAGTAAATAATTTGTTTTAACTACCTTATCGGCAGAGAAGTTGATGAACACATTTTTGAAGTCAATAAAACAAAGTACTGCATTTATCTACAGTAAAGTTTTTAAAAAA